AAGGAAGGCAGCTAGTCATCACCAAACTCTTGGGCTACTCTTTTACCAACGAATAGTGGGATTGACCGTCACATTATAATGGCGAGCATGTTTGGTGGGACGGGGATGCGAACTCGCGACCAGCACATTGGGAGTCGAGCGTCCTAACCATCTGGCCATGGTGGGCCCTCAACCACTGAGTCAATAAAATATCTTAAGAGGTTAATATTGTATAAGGGTAGATATTAAATTCGTAAAAGTCTTAAAATTTAATTTTAAAGAGAAATCTCAACAGGGATAGAAAATTTTTTGCTTCTTCTAAGTGATTTTATTAGTTCACACAGACGTGTATAGAATTCAGCTACGGATTGTTTTATAATACGCTTTCATTCTCAAGCTTTGGAAATCAAACCATTATTCACCCATTATAAGACGAATTGAAGTAATATTTACTTGTAGTTTTGTAAAACCAAACGTTTTTACTTATCCTTCTATATCTGATCTCTTGATGCCATGGAAATGTTTTTAGTAAAGTACTTTGACATATTGACGGAGAAACAAGCAAAAATATGATTATTGCTACTTGACCTGGACAATTGTTCACTAATTCAAACTTAACAAGGTTTGTCATAGTATAAAACAGAATAAAAGATTTTTTCTATACACACAATGAACGATTTAGAAGCAAATGGTGTACAAATTGTCAATCATGATACGTCTGTTCTGTAATATTTATTTCACGAAAATCAAATATATTATAAATTTATGACAACATTAAGACTAAGCGTAATATTATAATTTCTAATAAACCTACCTAATTGCATGTTTTTTACTGTATTTTCAAACTGTCTGGGTTAAATAATTTTATAGTACTAAAGAAAAAAAGTACAAGGTTATTGTACCAAAAATAAAAACTGGCACTGTTCTTATTACTGACAATTAATTTATTATTTAACTTCAGTTAAAATATTAGTGGAGGAAAGAAATGTAACATGTAAGTAACCTTTATAAAAAGAATTATGTAAAGAACAATGAATGTGTTTTCTCCCAAGTTGTTGCATAGTATTGTACATTATAACGATTCTGTTTAAGCTAAAGCTACACACCCTCGTACTCACAAAACTAAACTCATGAATCTAAAGAAATAAGATAAATTCTTGGGAAAATATAGTAACTACAGAAAGAAAAACTAGAAAATTTGGAACTTAACCCTATATAAACAGGAAAGTTTTGTTTGAAAATTATAGGCATATTGTACTGAAAATTGGGTAAAAAAAGTTTAAGCATTAGAAATTAGACTTTTTTGTATTATTTGTCGTTCAAAACCGCATAACTCTGATTTTTGAAGAGTTTTTTGTCTAAACACAGACTTTTAGTTTAATGTGCATTTTCAATTATTTAAATTACCTCTTCTTGTAGGATTTTATTATCAAAATATTTTTCTACACCTACCACATGAGGTAACTTTAATAGCAGGAATACTTTTATCAATTTCATTTCATTATAAAATAATAAGAATGAAAGGTCAGAAAAACTTTAGTATTAAAGATACGAGAACCTAACTTAACTTTAAATCACTACTTTGCTTCATTTCATGCAAAAATTAATAAGCATTAGTTGTTCTAAGAGATTGTTTCTTTGTCGTTAAGCTCCAAGCTACACTATAGGTTATCTGTGTTGTGTCCACAATGAATATTAAAACACGGTTTTTAGCGTTAGACGTCTTCAGTCTTACAGCTGAGCCACTGGGAGTGAGGACGCTCTAAGAGAAACAGAGATTTTCATTGTATTCTAGCATATTTTTTATGAATGATCTTACCTGCCCTAGTTTGTTTGCTTATTTTAGAGCAAAGTCACATTGAACTATCTGCTGTGTTCACCGCGGGGAATTTAACCCTGGATTTTAGCATTGTAAGCCTGTAGACTTACCGCTGTTCCATCAAGAGATTAATTGCCCAAGAGGAGCTGCAGTGTGATTTAAGTGGAATAATTCTTACCTCCAAATGATCTTACTTTTCCTTATGTTCCTGACTATTATATTACTTATAAGGCCTTCAGAATGTTTTACTGAGTCTCTAGATGAATCTTTCTTGCCCAAGAGGAGCTGCAGTGTGATTTAAGTGGAATAATTCTTACCTCCAAATGATCTTACTTTTCCTTATGTTCCTGACTATTATATTACTTATAAGGCCTTCAGAATGTTTTACTGAGTCTCTAGATGATCTTTCTTGCCCAAGACTGATTCAAAATTAGATGGGTTACTTCAAATGTAATATTTCTATCCAAATCGTTTCACAACGGTAAGGGTCACCAGAGAACCTCTCTTGCCCAAAATTATAGATTTTACTTAATATATAAAATGTCTGCCAATGTAATAACTTCCAAACCACTGTGAGTTTTAAAGGATCTTACTTAATCACGACGATGCCTCAAATATCAGTTTGTTTGTTTGTTTGTTTTGAATTTCGCGCAAAGCTACACAAGGGCTATCTGCGCTAGCCGTCCCTAATTTAGCAGTGTAAGACTAGAGGGAAGGCAGCTAGTCATCACCACCCACCGCCAACTCTTGGGCTACTCTTTTACAAACGAATAGTGGGATTGACCGGCACATTATAACGCCCCCACGGCTGAAAGGGCGAGCATGATCGGTGTGACGGGGATTCGAACCCGCGACCTGCAGATTGCGAGTCAAGCTCCCTAACCACCTGGCCATGCCGGGCCTCAAATATCAGAATCACTATAAATTTGACCTCTTCTCTATCTTAACCAATTCACCACCAATACGCCCTCCATAAAAACGTGATCGTGTAGAATGAAACCGGAAACATTATAATTATTTTAGATTTGATACTTAACATTTCTTTACCGTTTCATTCCCTAAGTAATTTTATAAGAACTGCTTGCTCAAGAAGAAATGGAAATTATTAGAATTATATTAAATATGTGCGTTCACTTAGATCACAAGATATGTAAAAATATTTCTAAAAAAAATATTGAGATGTCACTTTTATAAAATACGTATCGTCATCATTTGCTTGAAATTTATTTTTTATAATAAGTTGTTTTAACACAAAGTCCACAACTTAACAATTAAACTCTCGGCGCCTCATTCCAAAGGAATTAAACCATGTGAAATAAGAAATCTAAGAACCTCTGTATTATTCATTTATTTTTCTTTGAAGATTACTTACTCCTTTCTTTGTTATTTTTAATGTAAAGCATTTAGAATACAAAATAAACCTACCGTTTATTTCTTTACAGAAGTTTTTTCATAAGCACCGAATTTTTACGATTTGTTTTGTAGAATCAGAGACCTGGACTCTATGATCAAAACGGAAATCTTCATCAATGACTTGAGCATGCACGACTTTAGCAGGGACATGGTGTTAGCTGGCCAACAACAATCTGCTGAACTAAAGCTTGCATTAGATCAGGTATGTCTTTGTCACACAGTCTTTTCCTTACTGTGCCAATTAAACATTTTACGTACACACTGATCACACCACGATACTCTTGAACTGATCTTGTCTGTGTATCAGTGGCTTGCATTAGATCAGGTATGTCTTTGTCACACAGTCTTTTCCTTACTGTACCAATTAAACATTTTACGTACACACTGATCACACCACGATACTCTTGAACTGATCTTGTCTGTGTATCAGTGGCTTGCATTAGATCAGATATGTCTTTGTCACACAGTCTCTTCCTTACTGTGCCAATTAAACATTTTACGTACACACTGATCACACCACGATACTCTTGAACTGATCTTGTCTGTGTATCAGTATGTATCGATCACATCATAATATTGAACTGGTGTTCTCTGTGTATCACTCTAGAACTGATGCTGCCTCTGTATCAGTACACATCAATCACACCACAATACTCTAGAACTGATGTTGTTTCTGTATCAGTACACACCGATTACACCACAATACTCTAGAACTGATGTTGTTTCTATATAAGTATGTATCGATTACAACACATCACCCTGTAGAACTAACGTTGTCTATGTATCAATAGGTTTCGATCACATCACAATATTCTTAGAACAGATGCTGCCTCTGTATCATTACGTATATATTACACCAAAATATTCTGGAACTGTTGCTGTCTCTGTATCAGTACTTAAAAATCACATCACAATACTCTGTTGAACTGAGCCTGACGTTTCATCAAGTATGTACTGGTTACAACATAATGTTTTGATGAACTCATGTATCTAGATGAAAACAAAACTGACTACCGGATTAAACAAAAACGGTGAACATAAGGTATTGCTAAATTATGTAAGAGAATGCCACGTAAAGATAAAACTTGTCGGGGGCATAAGCTAAATATAACATTGTAAGAATACCTTTTATTTGAAGAATGTGACGGATTTATTATTATATATTAATTTTAATATCAACGTTTGTTTAGATTAAGTTTATATTTAGAAATTTGCATAGCTTTATAGTGTTAAATATGTATCGCGAAACACCCGCTTATTCTCTAAAGTTGTAGAAGATTCTCGAGTGTAAGAATCAACAATGTATGTATGTACGTAAACGCTTAATGTAGCTTTGTATTGTTACATAATCTGAATTTTCTAGAAACTCTCCACACGCTTATAAATATAACCAACGCGACGCGCTAGCTAGCTCCACGTTAAGCGAATTGTACCTACGTCAACTCGTAATTAACTCGCTCATCGTGAACCCTCGATAAGACATCAAGAAAGGTCTAGACTAGAAAGAAGACTTTATATTGCTTGTAAGTTTTTAAAAGTTTTGTTTATAAATCATTGTTTGTAATAACTGTTATTGTAAATTGTATTATTGTTTATATATTAAATATATTTGTATTAAAAAAGAAAACTGTGTATATCAATCTTGTTGGCAAATATCATATACTGACTTTATATATCGGCTTTTACTAAACTGCTAAATCCAAAGTACAGTTTAACTACTAAATTTAAAGTATCATTTAACTCAATTTCAGGCTATTTGAAATCCTAATACGTAGCATAATAAATTGGGGGCTCGTGTCCGAGATCTGAATCAGAGACAAAATTCGATCTAAATTTAATTTAAATCATAATTAAATTTATATCTATCGATATGACAACCCTATAAAGATATAATATCTTCCTGCTATAGACATGAAGTCAGGTCAGAATAAAAACCATATAAAGACATAATGTCGTCCTCCTATAGATAATAAACCAAATCGAAATGACAAAAACATAATATCAACCTCTTATATGTAAGAAACTAGGTCAAAATAAAAATATTTTAAGGATATAATATTGCCCTCCTGTAATTAAAAAACCAGGTCAAAATAAAAAAAAACTATAAAGATTTAATAAATGTTACAGACGCTATTTATAATTAGCTGAGGTTATATTTTGTCATTATATATGTTTTGGTAAGGTTTTGTTGTGATAACTGCATTACACATCTTTCTACGGGTGTCAGATAAAATTGTTTGCTATTCTTATAAATCTTTCATGACATCCATAGAACCTGTCTCAGTATACAAATTACATATGCAAATGTTTAATATAACATGTAGTTCTCAGTTTGACATCGTTATGTATATTTGTATTTCATGTCAATAATAATAATATTATTTGTTACAAAATATACAAATACTTTAGCCAAGACTTTACTTTGAAAGGCGATGTACTCCGTGATATATATAACTAAAATATATGAAAATAAAAAGACCAATTTATAATGTCTTCCAAAGACTTGAATCAAACAAAATATCGTTAGTGAGAGAGAAAAATTTAATAATTTTTAGTATATTTACATAAACAGCGTAAAACTAATTTTAAATATAGTATTTGTTTAAAAAAAGTCAAATAAAAATTAGCTCCAAATCTATCATCATTGATGTTGTAGCGTTGAACAAACATTTATTTTGTTGTTGTTATTTAGTATAAACGACAGTGTGGAATATCCATTAATATTTCTATTTTAGAACAAAAAGTTATATGAAAAAAAAAGAATAAAACTCTCATTCTCACTTGGTTCGCATATAACTTTATACATATATTAAAATAGCTTAATTATATTAATCAAAAAGTGAAGCCTCTTAAACAATTTAATTCCTTATGTTCCTTTTTTTAAAGTTACTAAACGAAAACGAAAAAGTTTCGGTTAATATCTAGTTAATTTTGACTTTATCAATGTTCATATGAGGAATTAAGGAGTTTATAAACAATTCAACAACATTTTCATGTTTTTCAGTATAAGGATAACTGAGGAGACTTTAAAGAATAGCATAATAACTGGAACTGTCAGTTTATTGGCAAATATCCGAAATAGCTTCTGGCACGATATGGACATGTTTTAATGAAATAAAAGATTTCCCAAAACGGAAACTTCACTAAAACCTGATCTTGATGTGTTTGTTTTGTCTTATGTATAATACGTAAACTGTCACTCTTATTTACCCAGCTAGAAGTAATGAACTATTTTTATCAATTTTACTCAATCCAGATGGCAACAGCGAAAGAAAAAAAAGACGTTTTTTCGGTAATTTGTCTCAAACGTTTATCCAAGTGTATGTGCTGTGCGCGAGCGTCTTGGCGCCAAAAATGTTCAATGCGTCTCCAAGGGTAATGGTTATTGTCTGTCGAACTTTTTGCTAGTACAACAATGGTTAGTGATGCTGTTTTAGATAGAACCCGACGTGTGTTGCCTGAGTAACAAACAAGTTTAGATTATTACCGAGCCAATTTAACGTTGTAATATGAAACGCATTAGCTTAGAGATTCGATAAGAAATCCGTATATATACGGCTGAAAACTATGGTTGAGAGCATTTTTAGCTATCAAAAAGTAAACTAGGCCTGTCATAGAGAATTTCTCTCTCTGAAGTTTCTATATGACTTATTACGTGACGTTTACAATTTCAAATAGCCTTAAATTGAGTTAAATTGTAATTTAGATTTAGAAGTTAAATAAATGCCGATATGTATCCAATTTATGATATTTGCCAACAAGATTGATACATACAATTTTCTTTTTTAATACAAATATATTTTAATATACAGTCGACAATACAATTTACAATAACAGTTATTACAAATAGTTATTACAAACAGTGATTTGTATACAAAAGTTTTACAAACTTACAAGCAATATAATGTTACGACAGCGGAAGTCACGTGACTCTGGTAACACGTCATGAGATTCTCAAAGGATCGTGACTTTTCCTGGCAACTCTAGTCTTTTCTAGGCGCCCTCTATTTTAGTATATAAGCCCGGCAAATAATTGCAGATAGACAGATATAGAGACAGATAATTGAGTAAAGCGAGCGGTAGTAACCTTAAGTAAAGTGCATGAATCGTTGTGAATTATAGCATGTGTTTAAATTAAAGTGATTGTGGAAATTCTGTGTATTGCAAAGTTGTACTGAGAAAGAATAAACTAGTTTTATTTAAGAAAGGACTTGTATCGCTGAAGTTCCTCGAGAAGAATTTATACCGGAAATTAAAAAACGACCAGAGACGTAACAAATTGGTGTCAGAGAGTGGGGCTAAAAAAAAAAGATGGAAACTAGAGGTGGCAAATCAAACTACAGCTTAGCAGATTTGATGGGGGCAATACAAGAACAGCAAAAGAAACAAGAAGAGAGATTACAGCAGTTGTTGGAGGAAAATGAAAAGAAACAAGGAGAGAGATTACAGCAGTTGTTTGAGGAAAAAGAAAAGAAACAAGGAGAGAGACAACAGCAGTGGCAGCTCGAACAGCAAAATGAACAAAAGAGATTACAGCAGTTGTTAGAGGGAAAAGAAAAGAAACGAGAAGAACGAGTAAAGAAACAAGAAGAGAGACTACAGCGGTGGTTGGAGGAGAAAGAAAATGAACAAGATGAGAGACTACAGCAGTGGTTGGAGGAGAAAGAAAATAAACAAGAAGAGAGACTACAGCAGTGGTTGGAGGAGAAAGAAAATAAACAAGAGAAAGTCTCCAACAGTTGAGAGAAAGCCAGCATACACAAATGGAAAAGATGAGTAAATTTTAAAGTGAATTAAATACATTAAAGGACAATTTATTGTCTTTTACACAAAGAGGATATATTAGCCATGGGCCTAATCACTCCCAGACAACAGGAAACACCTTCCAGACCCCGCAGCTAAACCCTAATGCAGACATATTCAGTCCCATTAGAAGTCACATCCCAGACATGAGTGTCAGCAATAGGAGTGATTTAGTACGAAATAAGCCACAGGAATTCGTTGGGAAGCAGAAAGCAGTATATTTGGCAACCAGCCTGAAGGAACAAACACTGGAAATACATGGACAGGCACAACTATCGAGCACCGGTAGCTGCTCTAGAACTCAGGTATG